AAAACTTGAATGATGAAATGAAACCAAAAGTAATGTTTATACTCATAAGTAATACTTAGCTTGTGTTATTGTGATTTACTAGACTAAAAGTTTAAAGTTTTAATGTTTATACTCATTAGTAATACTTAGCTTGTGTTATTGTGATTTACTAGACTAAAAGTTTTAACGAGTTTAAGTTTCAAACTCAAAGGGAAAACTATAATATCGATCTAGATCAACGGTAACCGATAGAGGGTACAATTTGTTATATTAGTCAGTAATTTCACACCTCAATGATTCGAATATTCTGGCTTATACTACTTTCAACATATACCAAACCTCATCACATCATCAAAGTCATTTACTGATTGAAAAAATCTGCTATTTACTTGTAGTTTACTTTCTTTTTACGTTGAATTTAATCATTGTTTAACTTGGTATCATAGCTTTTTGAAAAGCCCAAAATTCAGTCCTTATTTGGAAAATGCGTATAAATTTGAAAAAGTAAGGCTTGCATATACAAACAGCCCTACAACTCTTTATTCAGCAAATGAAAAATTCACTTGTGATAAACATCTCCATCTAGTAATTATGTTTAATCCTACTAAACGTTTCTCCCTCTTAGTCTGAACGGAATCGACTGGCAGTTATTACTACCTACTTCTTCAGAAATTTTAGAAAAAGTTCCTTACATTAGGGGTCGGTTTACAGGTGATCCATCTTATCATCAAAATGTCATCATCGTTGACTGGGAAGATGAAGGAGAAGATAAACAGGTTAGTCACTAATAAAACAATGCTAAAGTACTTCTATACCTTCAGAAACTTTGATTTATAGAGTTTTAGTATATTATTTAAAAATACGTCTCATTTCGCTCCCCCAATAAAGAAACGGAGAGGATAAAATACGCCATTCATTCATTAAGTACATCAAACTATTGCGTTATATCAACTGTAAAAGAAAAATAATCAGTACAATTTATTATCCATTGACGTTGCTTAATCTTTGATTGACATATGAATTATGACGGTTGAAACAATAGCATAGAAAAAAAAATTAAATCGCTATGAAAGAATTTATTTATTTTCAAGGAATATTTTAAAAGCCTTAATTTACAGGAACAAGTAAAAGAAGAAGATCGACTAAGTGCTATTGTTACTCTGATTGATCGGGATACAGCTGCTGTACCGAGAGGAGCAGTGTTGCTAACACCACAGGGAGAAGTAATCAGAAATCGATCTTTTGAAGGTAAGAATATTATTAATATAGCAAAAATTATGCAAACTTATGATCACATGAGATGTACTCTCGTGACCTAAGCAGTGGATAAATACCCTGCCATAAGCTTCGTAAACTGAGTCACGAGATAGTGAATTATTGCTGTTTGTCACTCGATGTTGTTATTAATATAGAAAAATGTTTTTGGAATATTGTGTGTGTGTGTTTTTATTTTTATTTCAGAATTAGGTTTTTTCTTCGTCAGGTTCTTTTTCCTGATTGCATTATTTGAAATTGTTTGTTCTGAATTTCGCGCAAAGCTACACGAGGGCTATCTGCACTAGCCGTCCCTATTTTAGCAGTGTAAGACTAGAGGGAGAAGGCAGCTACTCATCACCACCCACCGCCAACTCTTGGGCTACTCTTTTACCAACGAATAGTGGGATTGACCGTCACACTGTTATTTTTTTTTTCTTGGACCCTGGTTGTAGCGGCGTGTGATTTTGTCTGTTACAAAATTTGCTTTCTTGTTTTGGTTTTTGCGCATAACATCCAACCCTATATGAGAAGAAACAACTTTCAGACTCTTAATAAGTTAATTCGTTATACAAATATACTGAAGAGAGAGACCACTGAGATAAATGCGATACAAATCACATACACAAATTAATTAAGATCTAAATGTAATGGACTGAATAAGTATAATTCAGCTTGCTCAGAAAGGATATCCAAAGTCATCTGACATTACGTGTATTGTAATTTTCAAATGCGTCGTGAAAAAAAAATAGTGGAATGATTTGTTAACATATTCAATACTTTATATAACAGTTTGTAAACATTGCTGTAGACATAACACAACTGTAGCATAAATTTCGACACTCTGTTAGATAGAATATCGTATAGTTAATACTCTGTTTTTCTTTGTTTGTAGTTTGACACTAATCAAATAAACATTGCTACAGCATATAAGACAGGAGATTTAAAAATAACACGTTCATGTAATCCACTTTCTTCAACATGAATTAATTTCATTCTTTATGTTGTTTATAGGACTTTCATTTTCTGAAGCTACCAAACTGCATTCCTATCTACATTTTCGTCCAACTAGCAAGAAAAGTGATCTGAAACACCTGCGTCCTCAGGCTGACGTAGATGTAGCTCTTGATTTCTTAGAACCCATCTCCAATGACGTACCACAAGGTCTGTTCGTAGATAAATATACGGCATATATATATATATAGTTAATTAAGTGTTGTTTTGTTCAGTCATCACACGAAGAAGACAAACAAATTTATTTTCCACGAAACTATATACCACATGTGTTACAGACTTAAAATAAGAACCAAAACTCGAGCACTTTCGAATAGTTCACTATTCTTCTTTTTCTTTGTTCTCCTGAAGTAGAATAGTCAATTATTCGAAAGCGCTCGAGTTTTGGGTCTTATTTTAAATCTAATACACTTTATATGTGATCATTTGTGCTAACTCTTTTATCAAAATTGATATTCCACATGTGTTATAATAGTGTAAGTAAACTGCCTTAGGTGATAAAAACTAACATAATTAATGTTCGAAGAAAAAGCGACAAGACAAACCTGTATAGTTCTATTCCACATAGCAGTTTGTAGGTGGGAAAATAAATTCATCTTTCTCTGCCTTGTGATTATATAAATATTACCCTTCAAAGGCAACAGGGTTATTTTATATGTTGGTGTAACTTGATTATATACATAAAAAAAAATCTAAATTTCTAGAACAAGAACCGAAACCTCTCATGATAACTGCTTTAACTTTTCTTTTTTATATCAAAGCTGCTCATCTGCCCCTTCCCCCATAATAAGATGTGAATAGAGGTTATGAAGTCACGTGACCAAAGTAAACACGGCAACAATTTGCGGCCATATTGGACGTAAACACTTATCCGTGTAATAATGGCCTCCGTTACACAATCACCTAGTTCTCCGTTCATTTTTCACGAATTTACTAGAAAATTAGACAAGTCAAGATATGGAGAAAATTGCAGAAATATCAGTCTTGACACGACATATCCTTATTCTATCCCATCAGCATTGACAATCGCGCTAGGTGTCAGCAAATTAGGCGACATTGCAAACGGAGGACCCGAGTTAGGCCTACAAACCAACATTAAAGTTCCGCAGGTTCGGAATATAGATATCGTAAATTATTTAGTCCTGACAACATCATTTTACATCGGAAAGCAGTTCAAGGCCCATAAAAGCTTTGATGTTTATAAGTATTTTGTGGCCTGCTGGGTGCATGATGTTAGACTGTGAAAAGTGTACAAGACATTCAACTACATAGCCTACTCGAGGGTAAGTCGAAGTTGTTTTTAGTGACTAGGCCTATTGTTTATGTTCTGTCAGTGGTAAATTTACAATCGAGATATACTACATCGTATTGTATTGCATTTTAATTCCTCCTGTGTTGTAAGACCACTTTCTTCAGTATACATTACTATATATTTTACACAAATAAGCCCAGACTTTAAGACCACATGTTTTGATAAGCCACATTTTTTATAAAACTATTATCGCCCACTGGGCCCTTCCACCTAGCACTGCTTGTATGGGCCTGTATCATAGTATTTAGCTTAAGGGAAGCACCAGATATTTACAAGCTACACATTTTATCAAGATCTGTGCAATACAGTTGTGATAAGGTACATTGTATATACAAGTAATACTAACCAGATATAAAATGGGAACTGCATAGTCCATGGTACGACAATTGTTTCCAAGCCTTGTCAGTGTTGTTCGGGTTTGTATTTTTTACTGTCGCAGTCCATTTAACTCTACATACTGTATCTTCTGGAAATCTATAAAATGTTAACTCCGGATTATTTGTCTGGTTGTTTGTACAACGAACTGCTGCACAGCTGATTGTAATTCCAAATATTTGATCACAAATTCCAATACCATCAACTACATTTTGATTACTAGATTGTATCTTTGCTACGTGGGCTTCGCATGGCCAGGTTGTTAGGGCGCTCTTTTCGCAATCTGCGGGTTCGAATCCCCGTCATACCAAACATCCTTTCAGCTGTGGGGGCATTATAACATGACGGTCAATCCCACTATTTGTTGGTAAAAGAGTAGCCCAAGAGTTGGCGGTGGGTGGTGATGAGTAGCTGCCTTCAGTCTAGTCTTACACTGCTAAATTAGGGATGGCTAGTGCAGATAGCCCTCGTGCAGCTTTGCGCGAAATTCAAAACCTACATACTTTGCTACGTCCAAACTGATGGTGTTTACTTTTCGGCTTGCCGGTAATATATGCATGATGTCACGCGCATAGTATCTATATCAAATTGTATTAGGTTTGCCATTTACCCCTGATAAGAGAAAACCCACTTTCCAAAAGAACCCAGGTTATTGGTTTTGTTACGACAGTGTAAGTCACGAGACTCTAGAAAGATCATGACTGTTCGTGAAGCCTCGAGTGTTTTCCAGACACCCTCTATTTCGTATATATAAGACGGTAAATAAAGTGACGGCAATAATTGAATTGCAGATAGGCAGAGATAGTGACGGACAATTGATTCAAGTGCGGTAAAGTATAGCGTGTGTTTAAGTTAATGTGACTGTGGAAATTAAATGTATTGCAACGTTGAATTGAGAAAGAATAAACTAGTTTTATTTAAGAAAATACTTCTATCGCTGAAGTTCTTTGGAAATAATTTTTACGAGTAATTAACAAACGACCAGAGATGTAACAAATTGGTGTCAGAGAGTGGTAAAAATAAAAGAAGACGGAAACGAGAAGCGGCAAATCAAACTACATCTTAGCAGATTTGATGGCAGCAATACAAGAACAGCAAAAAAAAAGAGATTACAGCAGTTGTTTGAGGAAAAAGAAAATAAACAAGAAGAGAGATTACAGCAGTTATTGGAGGAAAAGTAAAAGAAACAAGAGGACAAGTTACAGCAGTTTTTCGAGGAAAAAGAAAAGAAACAAGAAGAAAGATTACAGCAGTGGCAAGAAAACCTGCAACAATGGCAGCTCAAACAGCAAAATAAAGAAGAGAGATTACAGCAGTTGTTGGACGAAAAAGAAAAGAAACAAGAAGTACGACAAAAGAAACAAGAAGAGAGATTACACCAGTGGCAACTGGAACAAGAAAGTAAACAGGAAGAAAGTCTCCAACAGTTGCAGGAAAGTCAGCAGCAACTACAGGAAAGTCAACAACAGTGGCAAGAAGTACAAATGGAAAACATTAGCAAAGTTCAAAGTGAATTAAATACATTAAAGGATGATTTACTGTCTTTTACACAAGGATGATATATTAACCATCGACCTAATCAGCCTCAGGCAATGGGAAGCCCCTTCCAGACCCCACAGCTAAACCCTAATGCAGACATCTTCAGTCCCGTTAGAAGTCACATCCCAGATGTGAATGTCAGCAATAGGGTGATCTAGTACGAAGGAAGCCACAGGAATTCGAAGGGAAGTCACCGTGGCAAGCATATGGAGCACAATTTGAGCTCCTGGCAGAGATCAATGGATGGACAGAGGAGCAGAAAGCAGTGTAACTGGCAACGAGCTTGAAGGGACAACCACAACAAATACTTGGACAGTTGTCAGCAGATGACAGACACAACTATAGAGCACTGGTAGCCTGCAAGAGCTGGCACAGGATTTGGAAAGTATGGCACACAAGGCCTACCTAACTACGACACCTGATGTCCT